AATATTTCGAACACCGGTCTGGTTCTGTTCCTATGGCTTCCAGTATCCGATTGTGGTTAACGACTCAGTATTAGAGGATTTGTTTAATTATCCCTTAATAACTCAGTTACACTTCAGTTGAATTAACATATCATAAAGTATTACTGTTTACGATGAAATGTTACCATCAAGAATTCCTGAAGGGTATTCAATTTTCCTGCAAATGTTACCTATTTTTCTGAGAAATGATTGATCTCTCCAGTGTCAGTACTCTTTGCAGTTTTTCAAATTATCGACTTCTACACCGCTTTACCTTTTTCTTCCTCCCTCTTTCTCTGTGAAACACGAGGAGTCTCTGAGAAAGCGATGTGAGCCAGGAATTTCTCTGCTCTCTCTGCTCGCTACTTCCTTCTTCTTCAGCTGACTGATATTTTCAAAACAATTTTTATCTGCTCTTCGCCATAGAACAGAGCCAATTTCCGTCTTTTCATCTCACTGATGATTCCTGAGTGTTTTTCCTGTTTTTCGCTACAAAACACAATTACTCATTTGTAGCTGTAATCTCATTTCACAGCCAGTGCACACAATAAATTCCAAGCCGTATTTTCCAATGGGAACCTCTATTTTGATGGGAAATTCACTTCCAAACCGCCGATAACATCTAATCCCACAGGCCGGAGAAGAACCGCGAAACAATGAAAATTGGAATCCCCTAGTTGACAATGTGCACATAGCTTATCTTCCCAATTAGACGGCTATCTGAAAGTTCGCCTCGATTACCATCATCCCCTGCTTTTTTGAAAATATTTGAATAATCTAGCTTAATATAGGTTTTATAAGTTCAAACTCCTTTCATATAACTGCTATGAGTCATCACATCTCCTCTAGGATGCTTCGAAATTTGGAGAATAGGTTCGTGAGGTGGGCGGAGTTTGTGAGGCGACATTTGGACGAGTTCTTGGCCGACTTTATCATTCATCCTTACTACTCGAGCTTTTTCTAATTACTCTTCTTGTCACACATCATCAAGAAAAGTAGAAGAGAGGAGTTGTTGACATAAAGTCCTTTCTGAATAGGTAACTATCGCTCTCAAAAACGAGCGTAATGAATACTAAATCAGCTCTACTAGTATCCATAAAATTATTACTTGGAACCAACTACATAAATTGATTAATCCCCAAGCCAGGCTTTTTCGAGGTTTTCCTTCAACTTACTTCATGTTGTTTTGAATTCTTTAGCTTCCAACTACTATTACTATTACTTCTACCATCAGTTCGCTATTCTACTTTCCTTTCTCATTACTATAATTGCGTATCTTATTTATAATAATAATATTTCAGTCAATCAGAGATTCGTCCGTTCGACATTCTCGCAGTCCGTCGACTCTCGTTGCTTACAAGCCAAGGCAACGGCATCCACCACTCCTTCACGTTTTCGTGTTCGTTTCATTTCATGTTTATCTATTTGATTACTTCATTATTTGATGTACGCATCAAGTGGAACTCTCTTAATGTCAACAACGGTACCCATGTCGAAAAATAAAAACCCACATCTGACATGAGGTTGTCATTCAAACACGTCAGAAAGCCAGGATAATTTGATTGAATCGCACGTACCTTGGAAAGATAAGTAGGATATAACTTAAAAACCAGTTTAGTAGTAGTGGGAATTGAATGGGAAGTTCATCCCAGATGGAACACCCCAATAGAAGACGAAAGATCCCACTAG